GTCAGACCTGGCTTACTGCTCTTCCCAGCAGATGTCTGGAAAGTTCAGGTCCCCCATGATGACCACATCCTTTGACCTAACTACCTCCATGAGTTGACTTAAGAATTCCTGGTCTAGCTCTTGCCCTTGGTTGGGTGGTCTGTAGTAGACCCCCACTGTTAAGTCTCTTCCCCTCGACTGCCTTGTACTCTAACCCAGAGCCCTTCCGTGTGACCCTCCACTGACTCTGTGCTGCCTGACGAGGATGTGTATTCCTCCTTAATGTAGAGCGCCACACCCCCGCCTTTCCTCCCTGTCCTGTCCCTCCTGTACAGCCTATAGCCCTTGATATTTCACTGCCCAGTCATGCATTGGGTCCCACCACATTTCAGTGAGCCCCCCTATGTCTGGGTTGGTGTCAGCTAGCAGGAGGGTAAGTTCCTACTGCTTGTTTCCCATACTACGAGCATTTGTGTAGAGACATTTGAGGCCTCCTCTGGATGTGTGCACTGGCCCCCTAATCACAGCATTGCCCTGGCCCCTGTTGCTTACCTGGGTATATGTTCTGCTCGTCAGTCTAAGCTGAGCTGTACTTGTGAGTGCTGCTTGGTTTAGCAGGCCAAGACTTGTACATTTTTGTATTTGCAAGGAATGAACTACACATACAAACCCTGCAGTAAAAACACAGGAGGGAAGGAATGAGGGAGCAGAAATGGGATTGTCAAAGATGGCAAAAGAAACCTTAGCAAACAGAAGAGATGCAACAAGGGACCTATTATACAGAGATTTAATGATTAAGGAAGTTGGCTAAACATTAAGAAAAATGCAAATCAAGTAATTATGATGCAGACAGTAACACAGAAATCTACCTGCAGCACAATCTACCTAACATCACCTAAATTCATAGTGCTACAATGCTCCAGGGGCAACGCATAGGGTGTGCACAGAGGTGCACGTGCACCCCCTGAGAGCGCTGGTACACCCCCCGTCTGGCCACGCTCCACTTAGCCAGCGGGCAGGGGGGCAGGTAGGAGCACCAGTGCTTCCCTTGCAAGCTCTAGCCGGGGAGCAGGACCGCCAGCAAAAGCGTCCATGCCGCTTCTGGAAGTGGCTGTGGGAGTTTTGGAAGCGGCACAGATGCTTTTATGGTGACTGAGATCAGCCGCAGGGGACACTTCCCCCACCCAGGGCTAGTGTGATCAGTCACCGGGGGGACCGCCTGCCTGTCAGCAGGATTGACTGCTGGGGTACCTCAACCCCCCCCCCCAACACTGGCTGGACTCAAGAGGCACAAGACACCCACACAATACCCTATTTCAGGGGTGGTCAACCTACGGCACATATGGCATACATGGCATGGGCAACCTGTGTGTGAAGCATGTGGCAGATCAGAGAGGAGACAGGCAATACAGCAGGACGTACAGCAGAGAGCATAAAACAGAGCAGCAGATCAGGCAGCGGAAGGGTACTGGAGAGATTCTGGTGGAGGGTGTAAAGCTCAATTTCTGGCTTACCTGACAAGAATGTTGACCTCTACTGCTCTACTTCATTTCCTCTGTTTACTGACTGCACAAATGGATACTGGTACCAAGGTAAAAATTTCCATTTTTTTTAGATCCAGTCCCAGATGCTGACAGAACGTCTTTAAAGGGTATAGCTCTCTATGTTAAG